TATTACCTTAAAGGGGCTCCGAAATCTGGTCCACGGCCCCTGTTGTGATTCCTGGCAAATAGCCAGATGCGGCCGCAACGCGCCTGCGCCGCATGATCTTTTGCCTCTTTTTGGAAGCGAAAATGCTTGAATTTAAAAATTCTGATACTATTTTTGGAATCCTCAACGAATTTTGATCATTCCAGACTTTTAAATTATGAAAATTGACCAGAGAATCACGGAGATCGGGAGATTGGGTGCCTTACAGGGCATTACGACATGTAATCGCCGCGCAATCAAAAAGTCGTTTTCCCCCCAAAAAGAATTCGGTTTTTCTCAAACATTTTACTTTTTTTCGCGATCAAATAACTTTTTTGGCACTTCTCGGCGGGGACCCTTTCGTTTTTTGACAGGTAGGTTCAATCCCCGCACGCACGAATTTTGACTTCTGAGCCCCTTTAAAAATCTCTGCTAGCCTGCCCTCTCCTGTTCCTCAACAATCTCTGCTAGCCTGCCCTCTCCTCTTCCTCAACAATCTCTGCTAGCCTGCCCTCTCCTGTTCCTCAACAATCTCTGCTAGCCTGCCTTCTCCTCTTCCTCAACAATCTCTGCTAGCCTGCCCTTTCCTCTACCTCATCAATCTCTGCTAGGTTTCTCCTCTCTCTCTCTCTCTCTCTCTCTCTCTCGCATATTTCAATTCCTTTTAGATCCAATCACTCAGAATGCGATAAAATGCGCGGCTCGCGGGTATTTCTGGAGGAGAGGCGGCGGGTTCGACGGCAGCTTGTCCCCTGGTAAATTTGCTTTTTTTAAAACGCGGAAAATGGATGCTGAAGATGTTTTTATTTAAAAATGATACAACGGCTTTATTAATTATATTACAACTTTGGAAGCTCAAAATTTAAAGAAAAAAACTTTTATTACCCCGTCATTTTAGCCAGGTCCCATTAGCCCACTTGCCAATTTTTTTTAAACGAATTTTTTCGAAACATTTCTTTTGCAGGCTTTTCTTCATCGGCTGTACCGGGGCATTTGCTTATTTGCAGTGGAGTAATCTGGAGTGGAATGGGACTACCGTCAAGGTACAAGATAAGTAAAATACTAATTTTTATTTTTAGCAAATTCGAGTAAAAAGAGACGCCCCAATGTCTATCGCCAATCGCCTAAATGACACCGAAAAGGAAAAGGTGGGAATTTCAAAATTTTTATTTTGAGGAATATTTTTTGGTAATTAGAATTTTACTGTCATGGCTGAGTATTTATATTGCATTAACATCTGTAAAAATTAACCTATTGAGTCAAAAAACACCAAAAATGACATCGAAGCTCGATATTATTAGATAAATTCTGCAATCCGATGAGATAACTTTTTTGCGAAACACATCTTTAGTAGACGACCCCCGTTTTAGTAGGGCTGTTTCGGAATCGAATTGATTATTGATGGTTATGCATGCACAAGATGATTTATCGATTATTTTTTTTGTAAGTTAGTAAATTTTTGAAACACATTCCGGCGAATCGATTTACTAAAATTTCCTAAAAAATTGCCGCCACATAAAAACCGGCATTTTTTACACATAAAAGGACCAGCAAACGAAAATCTTGAATTTTGCGGCATAGATCGAATCATACATTTTAATCAGGGAATCGACAGGAATTATTAGCGATGTGTATATTTGAAAATTCGAACACACTTTTGCTAACAAAAAGAACGTTCACTCCATAACTCCGATTATAACGAAGAATAAAAAATTTGTTAGGGAAGATTAAGAATTAATTTATCACCCTGCCAATCTTTCCGATTTCTCGAAATGTCTCGATACTGTTTCAAGCAACCTTGTTCCAACCAAAATTACAAAGCGACCAATTAGAACAACACAAGAACTCAGCAAAACCAAAAAAGCAAAAAAAAACAATGGCAAAAACAGCTTTAAAAATCAAAAAAAATTGCCAGAAAGCCCCATTGCTTAATAGACTAGATTTATGCTCGATTCAGAAAAATAATAAATTGAAGAATATCCGACGCGTCCGGCTGGCCGCCATGGATTTGCTGATGGAGGAGATGGATGAGGATTGCGCACATAAAAAACCAACGACAAGTAAGTCACAATCACTATTTTTTATTTTAAATTTTTACGAAACATTGTTTTTATCTATAAAATCGACAGCTAACCGTTTTGCACTAAAAGTGGGGTATTTTGAGAAACATTTTATATATCTTTTTTGATAGATTCTTGGCCGGTTGTTATTAAAAAAAATTAGCCAGGCAAATTTATTTTTACAAAACCAGGATCTGGCCAACTAGCAAATTTTATTTTAAATTTTTACGAAACATTGTTTTTATCTATAAAATCGACAGCTAACCGTTTTGCACTAAAAGTGGGGTATTTTGAGAAACATTTTATATATCTCTTTTTTGATAGATTCTTGGCCTGTTGTTATTAAAAAAATTAGCCATGCAAATTTATTTTTACAAAACCAGGATCTGGCCAACTAGCAAAGACGATTTGAGAAAAACAACCAAAAAATGAGAAAAAATAGGTCTCTCAAAAATGTGCATATTTTCACGGAATTTTGGTGTTAATATTGCTCTGGCTGATCAATTAAAAAATCAAAAAGGCTGGAATTGACAAAAAACTAACCGGGGTGGGCTGGCAGATATCCTTGGCGGAAGATCCAGCTCTTTCAGACGTCTCCTCCGACCAGTTCCCGCCCGATCTCTTCACCCTCGATCAGCGCCGCCACGGCGCTATTGTTTTGCATTTTGGAGGTGGGTCTCCAGTAGCATATTTCGATTCCTATTTAATAGCATAGCCTTTTAAAGAAGAAAAGGCTGAGATCTAATACCGTTGCTTGGATTTTCGAGATATACCTAGAATTTGCAACATAGATTTTTCGGGGTGAAGTTTAGGCCGAAATAGCGATTAGTAATTTTTGTGATACAGCGCAAAACGTTTTTTTTTTTCGGATTATAAATCCGTTAAATTCGGTTATCAGATTAACGATTCTTATCGGTTATTAAGACGAAAAACGATGTTCCGAAGCAAAGCCAAGCCATGTTTTCCCAACTACTCCTGAATTCAGGCCTTGTCTACATGTTCGTGGCGTTGGCGGTGGTGTGCGACGAGTTCTTCGTCCCCAGTCTCTCCGTCCTAACCGAAGTGGTCAGTTAATTATGGAAATCTAGTACCACATTCGTATAAATAAAGTATTACATTAAGTGTCAAAAAAAAGTTATAGGTCCGAATTACAGGCGCAAATTATTGAGAATTTAGAGCGTCAAGGCTAGTGAAAATGTTAAACATTTTTTTGCAACTTTTGAGAAGCTGCACCCTTCTTGTTTATTACATAACCAATTATTTATAGAGCTAAAAATGGCAAAGAAATAGCTATGAATTTTTAGTAGTAAATTAAAACAAAATTTTGAGATTAGCGAGGTTATTGAGATTGCAGTTTAATCCTGAGAAAATATTCAAGTGTAGGCAAATAGTAACCTTTAGAAAAAAATAAATATTAAAAAGTATGTTTCAGCAAAATACTCCGTTGCTAAGTTATGATGATTTATTATTTATTTGAACCCCATTCGGATTTATCGATTCCTAGAGGTAGTAGAGTTTACTTAGAAATAAAATGTTCCTTACAAAGATATGACCTAGAAAATGGTTGTAAAATGTAAAAATTTTGTGCTAGTTCTATCGGTTCTAAACATCGAGGTTGAAATAAAATTTTAAATCGGAAATATCTAATTTAAAAAAATCATAATGGAAATAAAATGTTGCATCATAGATTTGTAATGAAAAAATCTTTTCGATGAAGTGTTTCAAAGCACGAACTAAAAAGTCAAAAATTATTCGAATCAATAAAAGCTCAATATCTTTTTTTACGCAATTTCAGTTCGCGATCAGCGATGACGTGGCTGGGGCAACATTTATGGCAGCCGGCGGCTCGGCTCCTGAGTTTTTCACCTCAGTTTTCGGCGTGTTCGTCGCGCACAACAATGTCGGCATTGGGACGATTGTTGGTGGGGTTTTAATATATTTTTTATTTATCATGTATCAAAACGAATATTTTTCGTGCAAAATTCATTTAGTCAATTTTAACGACATCTACGTCTACGTATTAGGCGACAAATTCTTCGGCGGTGTCCTATTAGTCTTAAAACATTCTTTCGTTGGCAACGCCAGTAAATTAGAATAATTGGGACATGGATACTTTAGGTCCTAAATTGGTCGCTGCTAAAACTTATATATTATGGCATATTTTGATACATTTTTCGTAATTCGCGACGGCTAGGAGTTTTTTGAACTTTTTAGAAAGGTTTTTTGTTCATTTTTCATGTATGACATATCGAAAAATTATCTATTTTTTGTGCTTTTTGTATCTAAAACTGTTTAAGTTACGACAGGATTTTGTATAATTACAAGCGAACACCGACGCAATTTATATAGACCCCAGAAAAGATAAAAAAGTGGAAATTGAATGTTGGACTTGTACAGACAAAGGAACATATTACACAACGGAAATACCGGTCAAATCAGAAATTTTTTTATAGAATTTGCCACGAATTTTAATTTTTCGACGTGCCCTAGAGATGGAATACGGTAGCTCCAATTGTATTTTATTGTGAAATAATACGTCAAAATCAATCCCCTCCATGTAAAAATTGAAACATTTGTTTTTCTCAAAATATTCAATTTTTGATTGGTTCAAATTTTAAATAGTGTTGTTCGTTAGCTGAAAAAATAGAAACAGCGCAATTCTTTGCACGTCGCATTATCAGACCTGACACAGAGATAATCCATAGCATTTTTGAAAAATTCTTTAGCTGGAAGATTTTTATCATTGTGGTTTTTATAGTGGTTTTGAAATCTGAATTTAATCAAAATATTGGGATTGTAATAACATAATATTCATATTAAAACCACTGAATTTAATTAAAAAATACAAAGCTATTTCCAGGCAGCGCCACGTTCAACATCCTGTGCGTGCTGGCGTTTTGCACGCTCTTCTCGCGCGATATTTTGCACCTCACCTGGTGGGCCGCTGTTTCGGTGGGTTGCAATTTTTGCTCAAAAACGAAGAAAAAATGCAGCAAAAAAATGTGCTACATACAAATGTTAATATACAAGTCTTTTTAGAATTCTTAAGGAAGTAAAGCGTATCCAAATGTAATAAATAGAAAGCACTAGACGAAATTGCCAAAAAGTCAATAAATTTAAATTTTTAGATGTCCAGATATTTTTCGCCTGAGAAACTTCTATCTTTCACCTTTTTCGCAGCTTTTTGCTAATGGTAGTTAAATGAAACACACAGGTAAATATGGCAAATAAGCAGTATACTTTTAATAACAAACCTAATAAAAATATATATTTTGGAAAGTTGTTAAGTAAGCAACAATTGTTGACTTATTAACCCTACGCATTTTTTTTTGGAATTCTTTTTGAAGTGAAACATGGAATTTTTCGTTTGAAAGCTTAGCTATACCTAAAATATTTGAATTATATATATATATATATACCTAAAATAATCTGAAAATGTAAAATTATAAAATGATAGCGACATGACGTTCTACATCTTGGCCCTGTTCTTCCTGGTGCTCTTTTTCGCCGACGAGAATATCGAGTGGCTGGAGGCGTTGGCCCTGTTTGCCATCTACATTTTATACGGTATTTTTTACATTCATAATACTATATTTTCATAGATTTTTTATTGAAATTTTTGAAATAGCACCACAATTTATTCCATACATAGTCCCGCATCAAGCGACTGGCAATTAGCGTTTCAAAACGCCATTTTCCCTGAGAAAAGCGGAAACATTGATTTTAAACCCGTCGAAGTCGTCATTTTATTTTACAACGTGATATCCGCACACTCATCTTTAATACTTTTAATAAAAACGTATCAGTTAACATCATAGAAATATCTTTAAAAAATATTTTTTCACAAAATAATAAGGCAAAATGGCGGCTAATAGTAAAAATTTTCTCGAACCTTTCATATTAAAAAATCTAAAACACGACCATACATTATATAATTATTGCAAAATAAAATAACTTATTATCAGCGTTAATATTGGTTAAATTTTCGAATTACATTTGCGAAAAACACTGTGAATCCGTGCAGTAATGAAGGACACTGAATTACAGTCATTTTTCCTAAAAATAATTTTTGCTAAAGTTCATTTTTCCTAAAACCGGTTAAATACCCTCACTTCTTTAGTACTATGCATGAGAAAATAGAATTTTTTTTGATAAAAGCCAACTAATAACCAACACAAATAAATAATAATATAAAATGACAGCATTTAGCCTTTCGTGATATTTTTACGCATCCATATTGAATGAAAAATTAGGAAAAGATTTTAGGAAAATGAATTTGAGAAAAAATCAAGAAACAATTTAGGCAAATGAAACAGAACCCAAAACGAGGATGAAAAATTAGTTTTACTGTTCTATTTATTATTACTGGGAATTACAAATCGTCACAATGCTGCGCGTAGATGATAAATTCTGAAGCCCCCAGTGAAAAGAGAAACGTTGGTTTTCAGGAGTTCCATTTGCTTTTAATTCTTCCTTACTAGATCCCTGGCAAAACTGCTCTAGATGTTTCATAAAAAAAATATGTTTAGCTTTACAAAGTTGGCTTGATCGGTCAAAGTGAGTCAGCGGATCAATCAGTAAACCCCTTCGTCGTGCCAATACCTATTTTTTTCAGCACTTTTCATGAAGCACAACGTGCAGCTGGAGCGCTTCGTAAAGGTGATAATATCCTCGGCGAGGCCCAACGACAAAGTATACCGACTCGACGCAGCTGGCAATAACAACCTCAACCTCGGTAAGCGGCGCCTTTAAAGGTACCGGCAAGGTAGGCTGGGCGGATTTAATTGAATCTTTCGAGTGCCGGTGCAATGGGCCATTCTAAAACCTCCTGCTCCAAAACGAATGTTAGCCTAAAAGTACTGTTATATGGGCTGCGCGGGTAGGAAGGCATGCCTCCGAAACGCCCATTTTTTTTCAATGTTTCATCGAAAAGTTCCATAAATTTGTCCGTGAAAACAGTAATGCTGGTTGTCACGGAGCTGCCCTATAATTTCATTCATTCATGAAAATTCTTAGCACAACGAAAAAAATAGAGGAACTTTTATAAGAAAAAGACGAGACACTTAAAAACGACTCCAAACCGATTCTAATTATTGCAAAACAGGGTTTTGCTTGATGAAATATCGGGAAACGAGAAATTCCGGTAATTCCATTGATTCCAATAATACACATTGACTTGCAATAATGATCTCCGTCGTACCAAATACCCGCTCAAAATCCTGCACAAACTTATTTTTCGAAACATTTAGTTTTTCAATATTTCATCAACAAATTGAGGTGCTTTGGGTATTAGGCTGGTAATGAAATGACGTCCTTCGTTGATGCTCACATACCTTAAGCATATCAACTACAACACATAGACTACAAACTATGAACTACGCCTTCCAGAACCAGCTCAGCCGCCAGGAGCACCGTGTCTCGATGCCAATCATCCACGGCGGACAGCACATACGCAGTGGCATCGCGCATATGGCGTTGGGAGAGGATGGGGATGGTATGTTTCAAAAAGAATTAAACATCGCCAAGGTTTACGCTTTGCAATCTTATTGGTTCTGGTTGTTTTTACAAAAAGCCGGGATGATCCCCGATCACGTAAAAATCTTTTTTTTTATCCTACTATATATAAAAAAATAGTGTATGTGTGTGTGTGTAACTTTGCATGCAACTTCCGTCAGTATGTTCCAGTAGGATCTCGATAGAGAAAGGGGTTTAGAGCATGTTTTATATGTCATTAGATGCGTAATGATCTCGGAACCACTGCACACATGTCAAACCGCCGGAAAAGTGCTATTTTCGATATCAACTATAATAATTTTCTTGAGGCGTCAGTGTGTGTGTCTGAAGCCGAATTCAACTCGAAGGGGAAAGGAGCTAAGGCTTAGGTCTCTTCGGATTCGGATAGAGCGTGGTCAGAAACCCCCAAACTGATGAAAAAAATACGAAAAAGTTTTCGTTTAAATTATTAAATTTAACTTTGAAAGTCTTTTCCTTAGTAAAAAGGGTGGGGGGCCAAGGTTGGGGTGATTTTGGACATAGTGAGCCAGGTCGCGCGCGTTTCGGCGTGGGTGAGCGAGCGCAAGGGGTAGCCCGAAGTCCAGCCGCTTGCAGCGGCAAAGCCGCTGTAAGCGGCTGGTTAAAATAAGGTTTTTAGTAAAACTTTCGGTCACCCGCTTTGTTAGGAATCAATTAGCATGCGCCGGAAGTGAGAAAAGCCTATATAAAGAGACCGAGGGCGTATTTTTCATTTTTTGGCATTGCGGTTCGCGAGAATTATGCAAATTGCGAACTCTCATTGGATAAGACGGGGCCAGGGCTGAAAGGTCGCGAAGCGACTTTTCAACCCTAGTGATTTTCTAATTTCAGGCCATCATACGCAGCCGCCATCCCCGACCGGCGGCCCAAACGTCATCACTGTACAGCCGTATGAAAACGGCAGCAGGAGAGGTGATTGTTTTTGCCCGATTTTAATCCAACCCCTCGCTGAACGAACCCACTGCCGCACTAATTCCTCGTTAAATCCCAGATTTTTTGAAACTTATTTTTAAAAATTTTCGCGATTTTCAATGGGCGGTGCGAATTGGAAAAATGCGCGTTTCAAGGCTAAATTTGTATCGTTACATTCTTAGAGCATCAATACCGAAAGAGTGAAATGACGAGAACCAAACTAGCAGAGATTGTTGAGGAAGAGGAGAGGGCAGGCTAGCAGAGATTGTTGAGGAAGAGGAGAGGGCAGGCTAGCAGAGATTGTTGAGGAAGAGGAGAGGGCAGGCTAGCAGAGATTGTTGAGGAAGAGGAGGGCAGGCTGGCAGAGATTGTTGAGGAAGAGGAGAGGGCAGGCTAGCAGAGATTGTTGAGGAAGAGGAGAGGGCAGGCTAGCAGAGATTGTTGAGGAAGAGGAGAGGGCAGGCTAGCAGAGATTGTTGAGGAAGAGGAGAGGGCAGGCTAGCAGAGATTGTTGAGGAAGAGGAGAGGGCAGGCTAGCAGAGATTGTTGAGGAAGAGGAGAGGGCAGGCTAGCAGAGATTGTTGAGGAAGATGAGAGGGCAGGCTAGCAGAGATTGTTGAGGAAGAGGAGAGGGCAGGCTAGCGAGAGATTGTTGAGGGAAGAGGAGAGGGCAGGCGGGCAGAGATTGTTGAGGAAGAGGAGAGGGCAGGCTAGCAGAGATTTGTTGAGGAAGAGGAGAGGGCAGGCTAGCAGGAGATTGTTGAGGAATCCAAAAAACTAAAGTAAAAATTCCAGAGAACGGGCTGAAAACGGTGAGCGGGTTGGTGGACAAGTCGGAGGTGAGCGGGAAGCAGAATGGCAATGCCCATCCACCCATCGAGGCCAGTTTATTTTCTATTTAGGTTTAACTAGATAATTTAACCACATTTTATAAATTTTTGTTATTTCGTGGATTTCTTGCAGACGCTCCAAAACGGGCACTCTAACGGCCAGAATGGTGGCGGCCATTCGCTGATGAACGGTGTCACTTTTGAAAAGGTGAGTTTCTGTTTTTGATGAGGGGGAAAGCGTCAAAAATATAGGTAGTAGTTGGGTTTTCCTACCGTTTTCAGCACTTTTTTTATTGATCTAAGCTTTCAAAAAATATTTTAGCGTATTTTTAAAATGAAATTTTCGCCCTTTTTTGGTTGTTTTCAGGCATTTGTTATCAAAAATGAAAAATGTATATAGTCACTATGCTTTTTATATCTTAGCACTTTGTAAAACTTTAAGAAAATCGTTTCTTGTTAGTTAAGGCGGCCTATCAAATTGCTGTAGAATCCCAGGTTCGAGTGTATTCGTGCACAACAAAATTTTTCGAATTCTGAAATTTTTGAAACATTAATTTTTAGACCGCTTTTTTTAGGTGACGCTGGCCGATGAAGTGGACGAGCCCCTCGACCTCTCGTGGCCAGAGGGCAGGATGAAACAACTCGTCTACGTTCTCCTAGCCCCTATTATATTCCCGCTCAGCCTCACGCTGCCGGATGTCAGGAAACCGGTAAGGGGCTTCATAAAATAAGGATCGGCGTATTTGCAAAGGTGTTAAAAGAATTTAATTTTTGAAGTATTTTTTATAAGTCTTCTGTATGCTGCAATTGGCTGGCTCGAGCACGATCAGTCTCAAGAAGGAGCGCCAAACCACTTTCGTTGCGATATTGGGTTTTTTACAGAAACCTTAACTAGTATACCAAGGCATTGTAACATGTTTTTTGAATAGTGCAAACCATAAAAAATGTTTCCATGTTTCTTCAAGACCAACAACTAACGTTGCCATTATTCCTGCGACTTCACTTGCGCATTTTAATTATTATTACGAGGCCCACGATTTTATAAACATAATCTGGACCTCAAGCCTAGGTGCAAAATTTAAAAAACAATGTTTTGCAAAAAGTCAGAAGCTAAAATTTTTTTGTCTGGAACATTGCATTATCTCTGGACACCATGTATCGAAAACGCTTCTAAAACCCCGATTTATATCCATTGATTTCGGCGAAAAAACATGTTTCAGGACAAATTAAAAGGTACAAAAATTCAGGATTTTTAGTCATTACTTCCTGGCGTCAAACTAAATAAAAATTTTCGTGAGCGCTGTTCGTGAGATTTCATTACATCCATATTTTTTTGATTGCAGGAGAACCGCCGCTGGTTCGTGGTGACATTCGGCGGGTCGGTGCTGTGGATCGCCTCCTTTTCGTATTTAATGGTCTGGTGGGCGAATACGATCGGCGAGACGTTGGCCATCCCAACCGAGGTATCTACAAAATTAAGCAGTATCAAAAATAAACCGCAAATTGCCAGCGCAAAAAGTAATTATAAAATCTCGTGCTTCCTCCTTAGATAACAAAGAATTCCATTCACTCTATCATATTAACAAAAATTGAATTTTACTACTTAATTATCTTACTGCTAATTCAATGGCTGCCTTCAGTTTTCAAATTTTCAAAATTTTTTAAGTTTTTTCTAATTAATTTTGCCAATTTTACACAATAAGCACATTTAAATTGACTTTCAAGGCTATATCGCATTGTCGGGGGGCGGAATTTTGTTTATAGGTCCAAAAATGCCCAGTAAGTGACTAGAAAGTGTTTTAAGAATGTTTTTAATAATCTCTATCTATATTTCAACTACGAAAATCCAATCACTTTAAAAATTATGAAAAAGTCGAAATTTTGGTAAAAATCGGCTTATTTTTGTCGAAAAGTATATATTTTTAATATTTTGGAATAAAACTTGTAAACTTTGCACGTTTAGAAATAGTAAAAAGCCATTAAACACCTTCACAATTAATATTTGAAAGATTAGATCCTAAGAAGAAAGGTTGGTCCCCCTCCCCGATAATGCGAAAGAACCAATTTTAAAATCCCTGAATTCTACACATTAATAACAAAGTTTAACTAAACTGGATCATAATTTAGCGAGAAACAATTTTCAGATAATGGGCCTAACGATCCTCGCTGCCGGGACATCAATTCCGGACCTGATAACATCAGTGATTGTCGCGAGAAAGGGCCTCGGCGATATGGCCGTCTCCTCCTCCATCGGCAGCAATCTTTTCGATATTTGTGTTGGGTACGGTGGATTTAAGCTCTCCAGTACTCAAAAAGAAGAGACTAACAAAATTTATCTCGAAATTTTATGTTTTAGAAAAGATCAATTAAGGCCGCGTTTTGCAAGCGGTACTTATTGCGGGTTCGCACCATCATTGAACTCTGACAGTTCCTGGCTTGCCTGCTAAACAATATTATGCTCGATTTTGGAATTAAAAAATTTAAATAAAAAACATAAATTCAATGTTTCGAATTTTTATTAATTTTTAGGTTTTATTTGTCGGGATTTTCCATCAGGCTTGTTTACCTAAATTTCGAGATCATCGATTCGGCATTTTGAAAGTAACCCGAATTGGATTTAAATTCGTTGTTACAAAAAATTGCATAAAAACAAAGAGTTTAAAAAATTCTGTGTTTCAACAATATGTAAAGACCCAAATGTAGGAAGTGCTTGAATTCAGCTTGCGCACAGCAAATTTCTATGTTTCTACAAAATTCTAATTAACCACGTGCTTTCTAAAATAAATAAATTAACTTTTCAGGCTTCCGGTGCCGTGGTTGGCCTATTTCTTGGCCACCTTCTTCCGCACCCACTTTCAGCCGGTGCCCCCAATTCCTGTGATATCCAATGGTAACGCTTCACGTTCATTAAATTGCTGAAATTTATTAGTATTTTGTCATAAACATAATTCAATAACTTATGATTTAAAACAACCTAAAAGATAAAAAAAACCAGCATTTAGGTCTCATCTGCTCTGTGGGCCTACTTTTTGCGATGCTAATTGTTCTTGTCATTTGTGTAGCCGCTTCAAAGTGAGTTTGTCTCGGAACATCGAAATTGAAACGATTTTTGAAAAGCAACATTTAAAGGTTTTTTTATGTTTCGGGCCAAAAGGAGCGGTCCATTCAGCTTGAGTGGCTGATAGTGCAGGCTCTTCGATTTTCTTAATGAGTCAACTAGCAGAGATTGTTGAGGAAGAGGAGAGGGCAGGCTAGCAGAGACTGTTGAGGAAGAGGAGAGGGCAGGCTAGCAGAGATTGTTGAGGAAGAGGAGAGGGCAGGCTAGCAGAGATTGTTGAGGAAGAGGAGAGGGCAGGCTAGCAGAGATTGTTGAGGAAGAGGAGAGGGGGCAGGCTAGCAGAGATTGTTGAGGGAAGAAGAGAGGGCAGGCTAGCAGAGATTGTTGAGGAAGAGGAGAGGGTAGGCTAGCAGAGATTGTTGAGGAAGAGGAGAGGGCAGGCTAGCAGAGATTGTTGAGGAAGAGGAGAGGGCAGACTAGCAGAGATTGTTGAGGAAGAGGAGAGGGCAGGCTAGCAGAGATTGTTGAGGAAGAGGAGAGGGCAGGCTAGCAGAGATTGTTGAGGAAGAGAGAGAGGGGCAGGCTAGCAGAGATTGTTGAGGAAGAGGAGAGGGTAGGCTAGCAGAGATTGTTGAGGAAGAGGAGAGGGCAGGCTAGCAGAGATTGTTGAGGAAGAGGAGAGGGCAGACTAGCAGAGATTGTTGAGGAAGAGGAGAGGGCAGGCTAGCAGAGATTGTTGAGGAAGAGGAGAGGGCAGGCTAGCAGAGATTGTTGAGGAAGAAGAGAGGGCAGGCTAGCAGAGATTGTTGAGGAAGAGGAGAGGGCAGGCTAGCAGAGACTGTTGAGGAAGAGGAGAGGGCAGGCTAGCAGAGACTGTTGAGGAAGAGGAGAGGGCAGGCTAGCAGAGATTGTTGAGGAAGAGGAGAGGGGCAGGCTAGCAGAGACTGTTGAGGAAGAGGAGAGGGCAGGCTAGCAGAGATTGTTGAGGAAGAGGAGAGGGCAGACTAGCAGAGATTGTTGAGGAAGAAGAGAGGGCAGGCTAGCAGAGATTGTTGAGGAAGAGGAGAGGGCAGGCTAGCAGAGATTGTTGAGGAAGAGGAGGGGCAGGCTAGCAGAGATTGTTGAGGAAGAGGAGAGGGCAGGCTAGCAGAGATTGTTGAGGAAGAGGAGAGGGCAGGCTAGTAGATATTGTTGAGGGATTCAATTTCCACAATTTTCAGATGGCGTATGGACAAATTCTTCGGGCTGGTGATGATCGTTTCCTATGTCATTTTTTGCATATTTTCCATTTTCCTTGAGACGGGCCACGTCACGTGCCCGTTGCGTATTTTCGGGAGCGGCCGGAGTTGCTAGCTACCGTCTCCTGACTTTGGAGATTTTATTGGTTGTATTTGATCGTCAGAGAGCAATAAATGTTTTAAAATAATTACGCATAGGATATTTATTACTTAGGAGGACACGTGGTATTAGTTTACGAGATTTCGGGCTGACCAGACAATTTATTGAAACATTTCAATGAAAACTGATTTCAGCCCAAAATGAGAGATAGGAGAGAGAGAGCGACAGAGAGAGAAAGAGAGAGAGAGAGAGGGAGGGGGGGAAAGGGAGAGGGAGAGAGAGGAGAGAGAGAACGCCCTTCTACAGCAGCAAACGCCCGACCCCTATTTCCCGACCCGTCTGCCATAGCCAGACCCAGAGAGTCAGCGTCACTCTGCGTCTCTCGCCCTCCCTTGTCTCTCTCTTTCTCTCTCTTTCCCTCTGGATGTGCCCCGGGGGCTACAAGCCGACGATGTGTAATGTCCCCCTTCCCTTCCCATCTCCCCTTCTCGGTCCAACCATCCACATCCATCCGCCCCACCAACATTCACTTTTCCGCATCTATACTCTTGGCATTTCGATTTTTTAGGAATCATCTTAATACTAAAATTACGTTATTAAATGCTGCTACGGATTTTTGCGCCCATTAAAAAGAAGGGTTTTGAAAAAGTGTTGCTTCGCTTTTTTTGGTTACAATAAATTACATGAAAATCTAATCGACGGATTATTGACTATTGCCACAAAATCCACCAACTTCTAACTTTTTTTTCGTGAAACACGTATTTTCAAAAATTAAAAAAATCTTGGAATTGTTTCTTTTCTTTGCCGTTAAAGTTAAATTCTAGTTGCTTGCTAAATTTTGTTTTTTTAAATAATTAATTAAATAGTAATTACTTACCCTTCCAGGATATGATTTAGTGATTTTAGATACAACTTATTCCAAAATTAAATAAAATTAATTAACAAGTACAAAGTAACAAAACACTCATTAAAATGCTACGATTTTTCAGGGTTTTTTAAGAAATTTTGAAACATCTTATTTTTGCGCTGTTTTTTGGCTGCATTATGCTCATCTTTAGCTGTTTCTTTGACCAATATTACCACATCTGGTTTTCTAATACTCTCTATGGGAATTTATAAGCACCCTGCTTCTACTAGAATTGATCCCAGATTTGTTTTATTTACCTGAAAGGATTCTGATGTGTCTTAGTTATCGTTTTTCAATCGAGCGGACTGTACAAATTAAGGCGTCCGAATTTGCATACTTATCAATGATTTTTAAACCTCATTTTTCAATTTTTTTTTGCTAATTAGGAATCTTTGAAATTCATTTCCGTATTTTCCTTTTTTTTTTTCTTTATTTTCGTGGTCAAGCGTTGCAACTTCTTCTATTTTTAGGGATTTTTGAAACATAGGTTTCCCAGGCGGGTTTTCTAAAACTAAAAACCTTTATTTCTAAATCGTAAGTTCCTTTTTTTATACTCGAGCCATGAAACTCTTGAGCAATTTGTATTCCGAGATTCGATATGCAAATATCGTGGAGGTCTGACCTCGCCCCGGGTTGGTACTCGACAAACAATATGTCACTCTAGTACCTGTCCCGACGGCTACCCCCTTGCTTTCTTACCCAAATTCACATGCAAATGGGCTAATTTTACGATTTTTTGTTATAGTTGCATATTTAATAGGTTTTACTAAATGATCACTTGCAACTAATAGTTTGATTCGGAATTCACCACTCGCAAATAATTGTGAAACACCTTTTTACAAACCGCTTAACTTTCGATGCTAATTCTCTATTAAATTTGGAAAAGCATGAAGAGCTTGAAGAAACATGAATAAAAGCTCCAAATTATTCTATTAAAATTTGTATCGTTAGATGGTATTCCACAAATCTTCGATTGTAGCACCCTAGTCAGATTTGAAACTCAATTTTCAAGATCCAAAAATTTTTCATGGAGCGTAGAAAATCGGCAAAAAGGCTAAGATACAACGTTTTTAGAGAAATGTATTTCGCTCAAAGTAAACCCGCCACGCCCATTCAAATGCATAGATTTTCGGCAATTTGAGGCGGAAGGCTACGGGGCGCTACACGGCACGTACGTACCACAACGGCAAGCAACATTGGGTTCGAATCTTTTAGTTGGGTAATCGAACAGGCAAATGTAAAAGATAAGTGAAATAAAATATAATTTGGCGATAGAATCACTACCAGGCGTTTCCTTTTACTTTCTTACTACAGTTTGTGACAAAAGGATAGGTGGCTCGGCTTTTTGCGTAATTTTCTCAGCGATTTGGCATGTAGGCATCCTGAACGGTCGTTCGTTTTGTAGCCCGAAAAAAGGAGAATTTTTTGGTATACTGGACATGTCTTAACAATGAAGCAGCAGATTTTTATAAGCACTTTAAGTTTTCAATAGGCTATCTCATTCCCAGGGCCGTTCGCTACACACCAATACAAACGACCCT